AAAACCCTGACACAAAATTTTTGGGCTTTTTCATTGTGTGAAATGACTAGAGGAAAATAATGAAGAATTCATGCATGCACGTGTTGCTGCATTTATTCACAGACACCGTCAACAGCTCGAAAAACGCACAGCAGTCGAGGCTTTCTGGTGCGCTTTTTTCTACTAATTATTATCGCTGTTATTATTATCATTATCACCACCATTACTGTAATTATTACTGTCATCATTATTGTTGTAATTGTGTTGTAACAATGGTTAACGATAGATATTGTTATTGTTATTACCATTATTTATTTATTACTGCTGTCATTACCATTGTTGTAGTTATTATAAGTTACTATTGTCATTTCTTGTTATTGTTGCCACCACTGTTATTGTTACTATTATTATTGTTATTACTGTCATTATTATTGCTAATATTATTATTATCATTCATCATCATTATTATCTTCTCAATTACCATTTATCATGAAAACTCACCGCCAGAGCATCCTTGCCTTTTTGCACGGTACCATCAGTTTTCTTCAGATCAATCTCAGCTAGCAACTGCGCCATTTTGTTCGTTCAGCCTGTAAAGAAACATTTTTGACCATGAAGTCCCACTACTATACAATAGATATGAATCATCGCGCGAAACCGAATGCAAATCACCGAATGCTTTACAGTGGCCTTATCAACTCTGCATAAAAAAAACGAACAATTCAATATCGAAGCGCACAGACCCAAATCATGAGACGTTTCGGTCCATTAATTTAGCTATGGTTAAATGCGCTGCACTGAACGAAAGTTATTGCGAAATGGAAAATTCATCGGTCGTATGAAATGCATTATTGACCAGCTGGCAATGAATCATTCACCATTTGGAAATACAACGAATAACAACCGACACTGTGCGGACGTGACAAATACTCAATTTTATCGCAAACTCAAAAGCGAGTGCATTTTGCAGATTTCGTAATCCTTTCCCGACGTCCCGTGCATTGTGTCAGATTTGCACTTTTCGATGAACGACCGCTCACTGGAAAACGACCGGGCTTCTTGCAAAATAGGGCCAGAGATGAAAAGATGTCACCAAGTTATCAAGACATGGCAAAGAGACGAAAAGGAACCACCAGCTTTGCTGTAAGGCAAGAACTCAACCTTCCTTAAAAATCACCAAGTTCAAAACCCCTTTTATGTCCCTCTCTGAGGCAGGGCACTGCGAATTAGCACGAGCCCAAACTGTACCATGCTGCCAACGTAATTCCAAAATATACTTGAAAAGAGCAAAAAATCGTTCCGCGTTACCAGTTTTAATGGCAATTTTTGGAAAAGGGTGGGCAATACGCTCGATGACAGAAAAATAATGAGGCCCTGTCATAGACATAAAACACAAATTCACATACATACGCACATACACACAAACGAACATACACACATACATACATACGTACATACATACATACATACATACATGCATGCTCACATACATACACACATATGCGTAAAAAGACTCACACCAACAAATATTTCCAGCTTTTGCGTTCCCAAGGAAACTACCGATGTAAGCGAGACCAATTAGAAAACGCGACAAAGCCAATTAGGAAATGCGATACACAGGAGCCGAAGTTTCACCAAACGACGAGGCCGTACCTTCCACTACCAACCGCTCAAAAAACGTACTAATTCCTACGATTTTCAGGTCTACTTCAGTTTTCAACACAGTTTAGCACTCCCCGACCATTCCCGGTGCCCCTACAGCTGTTTTTCGTCCCCACTCCATATATAAATACACACACAAACCAACCCCCCGGCCCCCCGCCCTGCCTTCAAATACATACGTACAAACAAACAAACATACATACGTACACACATACATATGTACACATACATACATACACACATACATAAATATACATACTACATACATACACATACACACGCACACATACACACATGCATACATTCATACATATATACATACATACATATATAAACACATACATATATACATACATATACACATACATACATATATACATACATATGTACATACATACATATATACACACATACATATACACATACATATATACATACATACATGTATCCATACACACGTATATACACACATATATACGTACACACATACATACATACATACATACATAAACACATACATACATACATACATACACACATACATACATGCACACATACATACATACACACATACACAGACATACATACACCCCCTTCACTCGCTTTTTCATACATTTTCGTTCAAAAAGCACTTATGACGCCACTTTCTTCAGCAGTGAAAAACGCGTCCGACTTTTTGGGTGTGCTGGAAATTTAGCAGAAAACTACCAAACA